CGTTATGGATAAATGGGAAGAAGAATGTATATTTGAAAAATGGCCACAGGTGGCGCTGTATAGGCGCTACATAGACGATATTATAGTAATTTGGAGGGGTTCTGAAATAGATCTTGAAGGATTTTCAAACTATATTAATAAAAACCGTTATGGGTTGAAGTTTACTGTTACTAAAGATTTTGAAAAGGTTAATTTTTTGGATTTGATCTTATATAAATATGATGGACAGATTTATACTAAAACTTTTTTTAAAGATATTGATAAAAATAGCTATATCCCGGTTTCAAGTGGACATCATCCTAAATGGCTATATAATACCCCAAGAAGTCAGTTTACAAGAATTAAAAGGAATTGCAGTTTAAGGAAAGATTTTGTTGATCAAACTGATGTATTGATCGATCGGTTTATTGAGAAAGGATATAAAAAACCTTTTTTGTCAACAGAAAGGGAAATGATTGATAAAAAGGATAGAAGTACTTTTCTGTCTAATAGAAAGATAAAGAATAACAACTTTGATATGGCTTTTATTACCAACTTTAATAATCAGTATAAAGAGATTGAGGGTATTTTCAAGAAATATTGGCCGATTTTGTTAAAAGATGAGGTATTGAAAAAGATCATCCCAAAAAAAACCTAAATTTATTTATAAGAAAAATCGATCTATAAGGACGAAATTAGTGCATAATGTTTTAGATCCACCAAAAGAGGTGGATTTTTTTCCCGATTTGAAGGGATTTGTTCATTGTAACAGGTGTAAAGCATGTAGAACGATAAATAGATCGAATAAAATAAAGAGGAAGAAATTTATTTCAAATATAACTAAGAAAGAAATACAAGATCGAACAACTTATTTCGTGTAATTCCTCTCATGTGATTTATGTTTTGGAATGCCCGTGTCATTTTCAGTACGTTGGAAGAACAGGGAGACAGTTGAAGACTAGGATAAATGAACATTTGAACAATATAAAGAGAGGGTTTGACAAACATAGTGTTTCAAGACATTTTAAATTAAGACACAATAGTGATCCGAGTTTAGCGACATTTTATGGAATTGAGAGAGTAAAAAGTCATTGGAGGGGTTCAGATCTGATATATCAATATAAGAAATATCAAAAAAGGAGACTTTTTGGATATATGAATTGGAGTCTTTAGTACCAAGAGGTTTAAACATAGATATTGATTTAAATTGTTTTTTGACTAATTTTTAAGATAAATATTTTAAAATATTGATTACATGTAGTGATCGTTATATATAGTTTATTTTAATTTGGTTTATATTTTTATAAAAAAAATTATTTTTTAATTTTTTTGTGTATGAGAAGAGTTGTGCTTTAAGTTCTGTGCATGGCCCTTTAAGGGTTTTTCTGTGGTTTGAAGAGCCATGCACAGGATGGTATATATTGCTTTTCTGCATATATTTATGTTTTTTATATTTATATTTTTTTGTGGGTGATTTTGAAGGAGAACGGTATTGTGCTGATTCAAACCTGCAGGGTATATATATTTAGCTTTTTTGTTTATATAATAGAGTATATGTATAATTAAATTGGGAAACACCTGTTCTAGCCGGCGTGATTAAGGAGACTAGGAACGCAGTGATTGGCTGGGTGTTAAAACTATGTAGATGAAGGGTGGTATTTATAAGAGCTGTCTGACGTTCCCATCTGTACCGCCCCTTGATGACGTCGGTGTGACGAAAACGGTTGGGCGTAGCCTATTTGATGTGGATGTTAGAGAACCTTGCTGGTCTGTGCTGTATGGGAGAGATCTGCGGTGAGCGTTAACTGTATCTCAACCCTTTTTTGCGATTGAAGCTGGTGTCTGTTGGACACCTTGTTTGTGAGTTTCCTTATACCTTTTTTATTAAAGAGATAAATGAAAAAAAACGTATTGCACCATTATGTTCTCTTTTTTGTCCCTGAGTGTACTGCATGCTCTCATGGAGGTATGAGACAGAGTGGAGAAGTTCATTATAAGAGCTTGGGCTGCAAAGTTGTTTGGCTGTGATTATTATCTGGAAGTATCTGAAACATCACCATATCTATTTGGACATCGGGTTCATTGCTCCCAGAGCACAAGCGCTGTTGCTGGTTTATAATCTGACCAGCCATTAGCTCTGGTGAGTTCATTTATTCTCCTTTGGTGGTGGATTTCTCACAATTGGTTCAAGTCACTGAAGATATATATATTTTTTTGGACACTAATTTATGTTTGGACACTCTAATTTATTTAAAACACTAATGTTTTTTGGATGATGACATACACTTTTGTATAAGTTTGTTATTAGCGCATACCTTTTAATTTGGATACGTTAGAACACTGATCAGTTGCATTCCACCCTGTCCGAAGTCGAGACATTCTTTTTTGGGACACCCTGTTGAAGTGCCTTGTATTAAGAAAAATGTAATGTAGCGTGGATAATGTCCAAAGAGCCACTATGCAGGCTCTGAATGCCATCCCTCTTAACTACTTGCCAACCGCAGATAGCCGAATGACGGCTACACTGTGGCTGGCCAGTTCTGGGAGGGCGTCATATGACGTCCTCCCAGAACACGCTCACCTGTGCGCCCCCGTGGGTGCGCCCCTGGCGATCTCCGTGATCACCGTGTCCTACGGACACAGCTGATCATGTGATGTGGTAAAAGGCCAATCACAGCGGCCTTTTACCACGTGATCAGCCGTGTCCAATGGCACGCTGATCACCGGGAAATGCAATTGCTGGTTCTCGGCTGCACTTTCCTCACGCTGTCAGAGCGCGAGGAAAGTACTGCCGAGAACCGGCAGTTGTCAGAGCAGGGATCGGCACCGATCATCAGGGCACTGATGATCAGTGCCCTGATGATCGGTGCCCAGCAGTGCCACCCACCAGTTCCGCCCACCTGTGCCCAGCAGTGCGCCCACTTGTGCCACCAAGCAGTGCCACACACCTGTGCCCAGAAGTGCCACCTACCTGTGCCCAGCAGTGCCACCCACCTGTGCCCACCCACCTGTGTCCACCAGTGCCACCCACCTGTGCCCATCAGTGCCACCCACCAGTGCCCATCAGTGCAGCCCAGCAGTGCTGCCAGTCAGTGCCACCAGTCAGTGCCCAGCATTTGTGCCAGTCAGTGCCCAGCAGTTGCACCAGTCAATGCCTAGCAGTGCCGCCAGTCAGTGCCCAGCAGTGATGCCAGTCAGTGCCACCTATCAGTGCTGTCTATCAGTACCACCTATCAGTGCCGCCTATCCGTGACACCTCATTAGTGCTGCCTATCAGTGCCGCCTATCCATGCCACCTCATTAGTGCTGCCTATCAGTGCTGCCCATCAGTGCTGCCTCATCAACGCACATTAGTGAAGGAGAAAAATTACCTGTTTGAAGAATTTTATAATAGAAACAAAGAAACTTTTTTTTTTCAAATTTTTTGCAATTTTTTTTTGTTTATAGCGCAAAAAGTAAAGCGCCCAGCAGCGATTAAATACCACCAAAAGAAAGCTCTATTTGTGAGCAAAAAAATGATAAAAATTTCATATGGGTACAATCTTGCATGACCGCGCAATTGTCAATCAAAGTGCGACAGCGCTGAAAGCTGAAAATTGGCCTAGTAAAGAAGGGGGTATAAGTGCCCGGTAGGCAAGTGGTTAAAAGACTTCCAAGGATGCTATGATGAATGGGAAAATCGGTGGGAGCGTAGTGTACACTGACAAGGTGCATACTTCGAAGGAGACAATGTTCAATTGTAAAAATTTTCAATAAAATAATTTTAAAAATATCATTCTCAATACTTTCTAAATACACCTCGTATAGCTATTAATGTTCTAATACATCTCTATACTCCTAACATGCTTTTAGTGTCGTGTGTCACCATTAGAGAGATACATTTCGGAATCAACTAGGGAAATTGATACCAGTAGTTTTACCTAGAATAAATAACAAATGGTTGGAAACATAAGAGTTTTCATTATGTTATATGTTCACCTCCATTGGAATAATATATAATGCTGTTTGGGCTATGATTTCCACAAAACAGGAGAAAACCAAATTATAATATTTTCAAAGACTTGAGCTTGTAAACAACACAAAATTGAGACTGTTTAATTGGACAAAAGGCTGGTGGAAATTGAGTACAAATTCTTTAAACAGTGGTTTAGGATACACCCCTGTCATGCCGTATGGAGTGCAGCCTGTAGGCCAGTTCCCAATTTGAATACAGTATTACAAGTTTTTTCATAATATCAAATATGGACTTCTGTTGGAATATGTAGGACACGCATTTTTGTTGCCAGAAAAAAACTAATGGTGCAGTTTTGACTGCAACATGAAAAAGACTGAGCACCTTTGAGAACCCTAGTATGTATTCTCTTCAGAGAATTGGCCTGTGTAAAACACTTTCCACATGAAATGTTATTTAAGGTCTTCCAAGTTTATATAATTCTGGATTACTGCAGTACTCATACTTTACTGCTGTGCACCTTGTAGCTTCACTTTATCCCTCTCCTTATCCACAAATCTTAACAAAACGTACATTTGTTTCAACCATGACATTGTCTGAAATGTATCTCCGAATTGGCATCATGCAGTGCATTATTTCTTCCTGAGCAAGTTGAGCTGAGGGAAACAACTTTTTAACTGAGCCTCAGAGATCTGTAGATTTCCCATTTTCTCAAGGAAAGAAAATGTTGTCATATTGTATATAGCTATAAATGTTACAAAAATCATTTTTACAGAACTGTGTCTTTCGTAAGCAAAACTCTTGATTCTTGATTAGTTGCTACCAGTTCAATGTGCTGTACAAATTAGGAAGGCAACTTGAGTCATCACTGTATGAAAATGTATGTCATACTGATGTTTTTACAGAGTTCAAAATGTCATTTCAGTACAGTTTCCATGGAGATTTGACATCACTTTCTGTACAAGAGTAATTCTTCCATGCTAATTGGGCAGTGATTTGCTTCTGTTTTGTGTAGTGTCATTCCCCATGTCCAACATGCCATCGTATTTACATTTTCCTTTTCTTTATTTCAGTCCTTAAATCGCTGATTCTGAATCTTCTTGTAAAATGGCTCTTCCGCTTCTTCACTACACTCCCTTTCACTTGTCTGGGGTTTCCTTCTCAGACTAGCTTCCCGGGGTAGCAAGGCCAATAGCTTCAGCTATTAGAGGTGTTGGCACACCTCCAGCAACATTGACAGTTGGTCCACAACGTGGTTCAGAATCAGGCTCTATGTCACTAATGGAGGAACCAGGAGACACACCAGCACCTTTGGGTGGCCTGTAGCCACGAAAATCCTTGCTCATGTCATAACTTCCTGGTTCTTGGGGATCTCCAGTCTTTTGCCCCGCCTTCCACTCCCATGGGCCATTGCCTGAGGACAGATGAACAACTGGGTGATGAGGTGCATGAGCGTCAATAGTGACAATGCTGGAACTGTCCCTTTCTGAGGGTGAGCGATACTGTGAAGAGTCAGAACTGCTGGTTGTTGAAGATGAAGATGTTTCTGAATGTTTTGGAGTACTGGAGCCTAGTACTGTTGCCTGCTGTTGTTGTTGTTGTTTTGACATGGCAATCACTTGCATTAATCTAGGAGGATTTGCAGTTGCTCTTGGTGCCCCACCTTTTTCAGCCATCATCATCCACTTGGCTCTAATTGCTGAGCTGCTTTTTGGAGAACCAGTTTGATTTTCTTCAGGGATGTGTAGAAGTGGTGGGGCTGCAGGGCGCGGCTGAATAAGTACCCGAGGAGCTCCTGGCCGAGCCTGAACTGTGGGATAAAGTGATGGAGGAACCCTGTCGGGGTCTGGCTCATCAAGTATAATACCTGAAGTTTCAGAGGCTGCCCTTCGATGGGCTTGTGCCAATGCTACCTCCTCCCCAAGTGTCAGACTACGCCCTTCAATAGGCTTTGGCTTCCATTCAGGTCCTGCTGTCCTCTGACGAGAGCCTTCATTGGGCATGTGCATAGTCATGTGCCGACGGCCAGTGTCTTCCATGGATGGGGTACTCACCCGGGGCAAAGTGTTGCTAAAAGTCACCATGTTCTCCTTTCCCATGGGACTTCTTGGGGCTAATAAGTCAACATCCACGCTGGCACGTTTTAGGCTGCCAAGAGAATTTTTCTCACGCTGAACCTATAATGAAACATCATCAGTCAATGAAATCACAAAAAAACAAAGCAATTATTTTTTCAAGAGAAATTGTGTAGAACAGGGGCCTACCTGATTGGATACAAATTGATTGGATAGTTTAGGTAAGTCCTATTATTACAAATGTTTGATAGTGAGATTGCACAAAGATTGTATGGTCAGACTGTAGTATGTATGGTAAGTTTAAATCAGGCTATAGACAACTCGAAAACCAAACAAAAATTCTTATTAATAGCCAGTTTGTTTGTTTTTTGCATCATCAGTGTTCCCACTGCGACACGCGATTTTTCGTGTTGCAACCGAAAGTGCCAGATCCAACATGTTGGATTTTCTTGTAAAAACAAACACATTTCTAATCACAAATAGGGGAATCGTAGGATAAAGTGAAATAAAAATGAACTATGTATGAACTAGGAAAGTATGAACCCGATGGAAAAGAATGCTTGCAGACAAAGTTCTTTCATACATCAAACATGTATACCTAGCATGGACTAATGCACTCCCATTACCAGGAATTGTCAATAGTACAGTATATATGGTGCAATGGAATACACAAATGTCTTTGCTTTAAAATGTAAAAATGTTGATAACTGATGTACTACGCAGACTAAGCATAACTGTTTTCAATAAATACACCAGCAAACATCAAGTCTGCTTAGTACATAAGGTATCACAGTGTGTAGTGTATAGATAAAGGAGAAAATATAACAGGTAAACATTAAAATAAAAATAGATGTAAAAAGTGCAGTACTAAAAAATGACATACATAAATCAATTAAATCTTGAACAATAAAAATGTACACGGTGCTCATGTATTACACCAAATAGAGCAGTCTTAATATTCGTGAAAAAACGTGCAGGCTTGACTCAAGAAGGTCAGTAATCTCAAGAGGTGACTTTCAATAGCGTAGATATTAAATAATCCTTGTGACGTGACTCCGTGCATCTAGTTATGAAATATGCACTCACCAGAAGCACATAGAACATGTGCATTACACCATCAAATCTCCGTCAGGTCCCCTTTAAATGGATACAGACAGCTAACCAGGAGCAAGGATCCCAGGTCTGGACACCAACCTCCCATGAAGCTCTCCCTCCTCTGGGGGTCTCCAAGAGTAATTGGCTCAAAGCCAAGTAATATATAAAAAGATTCTTATAATGTAGTACTTTTCAAAAATTGAGCCGAGGTCCGGCGGTCATCTTGGATATTGGATGACACAGCCACATTGTTTTGTTACTGCTGCACGTGCTTTTTATAGTATTTTATTGTGTACGATTTTGGTGGTACTGTTTTTAGAACATTCAATGCTAATTCATTCAATTTTTGAAAAGTACATTATAATCTTTTTATATATTACTTGGCTTTGAGCCAATTACTCTTGGAGACCCCCAGAGGAGGGAGAGCTTCATGGGAGGTTGGTGTCCAGACCTGGGATCCTTGCTCCTGGTTAGCTGTCTGTATCCATTTAAAGGGGACCTGATGGAGACTGGATGGTGTAATGCACATGTTCTATGTGCTTCTGGTGAGTGCGTATTTCATAACTAGATGCACGGAGTCACGTCACAAGGATTATTTAATATCTACGCTATTAAAAGTCACCTCTTGAGATTACTGACCTTCTTGAGTCAAGCCTGCATGTTTTTTCAGGAATATTAAGACTGTTCTATTTGGTGTAATACATGAGCACCGTGTACATTTTATTGTTCAAAATTTAATTGATTTATGTATGTCCTTTTTTAGCGCTGCTTTTTTTATATCTATTTTTATTCTGACTGGGTTTTTAGGATATCCTACGTTGGTGCAATTGCTGCTATACTTACAGGTGAAACTCGAAAAATTAGAATATCATGCAAAAGTTCATTTATTTCAGTAATGCAACTTAAAAGGTGAAACTAATATATGAGATAGACTCATTACATGCAAAGCAAGATAGTTCAAGCCATGATTTGTCATAATTGTGATGAAAACCCCAAATCCACAATCTCCGAAAATTCGAATATTGTGAAAAGGTGCAATATTCTAGGCTCAAAGTGTCCCACTCTAATCAGCTAACTATGCCATAATAAGCCACACCTGCAAAGGGTTCCTGAGCCTTTAAATGGTCTCTCAGTCTGGTTCAGTAGGAATCACAATCATGGGAAAGACTGCTGACCTGAAAGTTGTGCAGAAAACCATCATTGCCACCCTCCATAAGGAGGGAAAGCCTCAAAAGTTAATTGCAAAAGAAGCTGGATGTTCCCAAAGTGCTGTATCAAAGCACATTGATAGAAAGTTATGTGGAAGGGAAAAGTGTGGAAGAAAAATGTGCACAAGCAGCATTGATGACCGCAGCCTGGAGAGGATTCTCAGGAAAAGGCCATTCAAAAGTGTTGGGGACTTTCACAAGGAGTGGACTGAGGCTGGAGTCAGTGCATCAAGAGCCACCACACACAGACTGATCCTGGACATGGGCTTCAAATGTTGTATTCCTCTTGTCAAGCTGCTCCTGAACAACAAACAACTTCAGAAGCGTCTTACCTGGGCTAAAGAAAAACAGACCTGGTCTGTTGCTCAGTGGTCCAAAGTCCTCTTTTCTGATGAGAGCAACTTTTGCATCTCATTTGGAAACCAAAGACCCAGAGTATGGAGGAAGAATGGAGAGGTACACACTGCAAGATGCTTGAAGTCCAGTGTGAAGTTTCCACAGTCTGTGTTGATTTGGGGAGCCGTGTCATCTGCTGGTGTTGGTCCACTGTACTTCATTAAGTCCAGATTCAACGCAGCTGTCTACCAGGAGATTTTGGAGCACTTCACGCTTCCTTCCTCAGACAAGCTTTACGGGGATGCTGACTTCATTTTCCAGCAGGACGTGGCACCTGCCCACACTGCCAAAAGCACCAAAACCTGGTTCAATGACCATGGGATTACTGTGCTTGATTGGCCAGCAAACTCGCCTGACCTGAACCCCATAGAGAATCTATGGGGCATTGCCAAGAGAAAGATGAGAGACATGAGACCGAACAATGCAGAAGAGCTGAAGGCCGCTATTGAAGCATCCTGGTCTTCCATAACACCTCAGCAGTGCCACAGGCTGATAGCTTCCATGCCACGCCGCATTGAGGCAGTAATTGCTGCAAAAGGGGCCCAAACCAAGTACTGAGTACATATGCATGCTTATACTTTTCAGAGGTCCGATATTGTTCTATGTACAATCCTTATTTTATTGATTGCATGTAATATTCAAATTTTCTGAGATTGTGGATTTGGGATTTTAATAAGCTGTAAGCCATAATCATCACAATTATGACAAATCACAGCTTGAACTATCTTGCTTTGCATGTAATGAGTCTATCTCATATATTAGTTTCACCTTTTAAGTTGCATTACCGAAATAAATGAACTTTTGCACGATATTCTAATTTTTCGAGTTTCACCTGTATTTATTTTATAGTTGGATTGATTAATTCCTGAGCGCTCGCTTTATGCTCTTTTACTACAAACATTAAAACAAAGACAACAAACACAAAAATATCCAGAACAAGCACATGCTTATTACGCAAAACAGGCACAAAAAATCTGTTGTTTAACAGTGCAAACATTTGGTTTTTGACTTACCTATGGTCAGCCTAAGGATGACTATGCTTAAAATGTGTGCTGGCTTCAAATTAAGCTCATTTGAAAAGGAAAGAAATTTGCATCACAGGACAATTTTAGTGAAATCATTTTAATAAGTATCATGGGTTTTGTGGACCCTCTGTGTCACCAGTAGAATACACATGCTCCCCCTTCCCGCCCAAAAGAAAGGGGTCTAACAATTGCTTAATGTTTGCCGTGCAAAGTTGTTACACTACATGACACCCCAAGGTTTTTAGCCAAAAACCAGGTCACAAGGAGGAGCTTGGGACAGATTATGTTCAGGTCAAATCAGATAACTGGCATTGGCTTGGGCAGGCAGAGAGAAGAACAGGAATTGGTAGATGGGCTAGAGTAGTAAACAGAATGAGCATTCAGGGTTCCTGGAGCACTTAATGAAGGTCTCAGGGCTCAGCTGGAATTTTTGCTGAGTTACCAGTATACTAAGCTAAGTTTGTACTTGCTGCTTGGTTACATTACTGGCATGCTAAAGTATGTCTGCAATGAAAAACCCTACTTTATCCAACAGATTGCATTGCACACTTGGTATCAATGTGTATAGCCAGAGTATAAAACTTTGGTATGGGAGCCAGTCATGAATATGGAGGACTGGTGGCTGACCACAGAGAACCAAAGACTGTGTCTTTTGCACAAGGACAATAATCCATTTTATCCATTGCTGTACATATATGGAAGCTCTCATAGATTAGAGTTAGGACTACACCACACAAAAAGGCCTTGATGAGGCAGTGTGACTTCCTTATATATAGTTGCAAATGTTGTGCAACTAAAACCTCTGTTTTTAACGCAAATTGATTAAACAGTGTAATATCTTTTTATTTTCTTTTTTTGCTTGCTGTCTGGCAGGTTTGCTGGGAATTGTTTGTTCTGTGCAAAGCCCTTCCATGTGCACTTACTTTAAATGTTAGTCATAAATTAAAGTGGTTGCCAATTTTATTTAAAATGTCAGTGAAATGCACCCAACAACACACTGCATTTGCTCTTTGACACAAACTCAAAGCCCATAGTCACAGGACCAAAAGAACTCTCCTATTCCCTGCACCTTTTTCCCCATTGTTATTAATAATGATGTTCTGCTTGTGTCAGAGTCATAACGCCACTGCTGTCCTTTAGAAATAGGGACTCTAAGAGATGAAAGCAAATTGTTGTGCTCTCATTTTAGAAAACCCATTATGCTCACTGATACCAGTGTCATAGGTGCACCCTACAATTCCAAAACCACCGGGGCCTCTTCACACATGCGGTATGGTAAGTTGGTAAGCTAACCTTGCATTAATTTTGAATGACACCCTAATGCACCGCTACAAAACACCTGCACTTCTACAACCCATTGCAGTGCACCCCAAGGCATGCACAAAAACACAGTCACAAACCTTCCTTTAGATTTTCACTTGAGCATAGTGATCCTCAGGTGTCAATAGAATTAGAATGTGGCCTGAATGAGCGAGGGAAATAAAGGCCTTTCCTAAATCCTAACAGCATATAGGTCATATATAATCTTATTAGAACAGGTACATGCTGTAGCTGTCGGTTATAAAGTATGCACTGTAATATATTGTATAATTAGCACATTGCATCAGGTTTTGCATTATCATAGTAGCCACTGTGCAGGAAATTGATTTTTTTTTTTTTTTCGCCAGGAAATTGCCTGTGGGATTAGGGTATCGGCTATGTGAGTTTTTAGCTACTTTTATATAATACAATGAGTCCTTTGTGCCTAGAATATGTACTGTATACATATTTCATTTAACTTTATGTTTTAGGCTAAATTTTTTTTAGACCAAACAATGAATATTTGTATTTCACTAACCTGACGTTGGGTAGCCTGGCTACCAGGATGGGGAGATAGTTCATCATTGCTTGAGGATTTGTTCTGGTGGTATACAGACTCATGTCCACGCTGTGTCAAAGCACGTAAATTGTCTTTACTCGGGGGTGCTGGCAAAGAGTCCTCAGAGGATGCCCGAAAATTACCCACAGCATGATAAGCCTGTAATTGTATGGTGTCAAGCAAGGCAATTAGTTCCATATGGCATGAATAGCTAACTTAGATTAAAAGCTCATTACTGTATATCACTTCTGCACAATGGTGTAATAAAAATTTTTTGGGTTTTTTAAAAATATTTTTTATTGTTATACAAAAATCTATCACTCACCAAATAAGCAGCGATGCCTGCTCCAATAAGGAATCCTGCATATACATCTACTGGGTGACTGCGGTACTGTGTGATCTGGGTTAGTCCACACACTCCAGCGGCAATGGCAAAAGAGAACACTAGCAATGGCTTCAGAAGTTTTGTACTATCTGTTATGATGGAGTTAAAATACATCTGAAAAATAAAACAGTGGCATAAGGCTTTTCTGTGATTCATTATGTTACCATTAGCTGTCCTGATTTCCATCACTCAAGCCTGTGGGCACACAACCTTTGGCCCCTAAAGCGATAATGCTGTGCTAGGATCACCTTTATTACAGAGAACATGCTCTTCTTGGTCCTAACATTGCTTTGAAAATTGTATATACTATAAATGACCTTATTTAAAAATGAGGATACCAGCCCAGGCAGCTGCTATGAAAGCAGAAAGCAGGCCAATACTTTTCAGTGTAGTACCACTGTCTTGAAAACTGTCCTGTTGCTATGGATGATTTCATATAATCTTCCTTTTAGGATGTTGATGTAGACATGAGACTCTGCTGTAGATAGGCCAGTTTTATCGATTAGGCAAATTTGGGATGCTGTAAAATTTTAAAGGAAACCTGTAATTACATAGTTACATAGTTAGTCTGGCTGAAAAAAGACAAAAGTCCATCCAGTTCAACCACTGCAAAATAAAAAAAGTTATAATCCTATACCCAGAGTCAATCCAGAGGAAGGCAAAAAAAAAAACCCCAGCAAAGCATGATCCAATTTGCTCCTGCAGTGGAAAAAATTCCTTCCTGATCCCCCGAGGGGCAATCAGATATTCCCTGGATCAACTTTACCTATAAATGTTAGTGTCCAGTTATATTCTGTGTATCCAAGAAAGAATCCAGGCCTTTTTTTAAAGCAATCCACTGAGCTGGCCAGAACCAACTCTTGAGGGAGTCTGTTCCACATTTTCACAGCTCTCACTGTGAAGTAACCTTTCCGTGTTTGGAGATTAAATTTTGTTTCCTCTAAGATGTAAAGAGTGCCCCCTTGTCCTCTGTGATGACCTCAGGGTGAATAGCTCTACACCGAGTTCACTATATGAACCACTGATGTATTTATACATGTTGATCATATCCCCCTTTATCTCCTCTTCTCAAGAGAGAATACATTCAGTTCCTCTAATATTTACTCATAGCTGAGCTCCTCCATGCCTCTTATCAGTTTGGTTTCCCTTCTCTGTACTTTCTCCAGTTCCCCAATGTTCTTTTTGTGAATTGGTGCACTAAACTGAACTGCATATTCCAGATGAGTTCTTACTAATGATTTGTACAGGGGAATATGATATCTCTCTCTCTGGAGTCTATACTTCTTTTAATACAAGAGAGGATTTTGCTCACTTTAGAAAGCGCAGCTTGGCATTGAGACATCCTGTAAGGACATTATTCCACTGCACAGCTTGGTGTCATCAGCAAAGACTGAAATTGTATTTTTAATTCCAGACCCTAGAAAAAATCCAGGCCTTTTTTTTAAAACAGTCCACTGAGCTGGCCAGAACCAACTCTTGTGGGAGTCTATTTCACATTTTCACAGCTCTCACTCTGAAGAATCCTTTTCGTGTTTGGAGATTAAATTTCTTTTTCTCCAGACGTAAAGAGTGCCCCCCCCTTGTCCTCTGTGATGACCTCAGAGTGAATAGCTCTACACCGAGTTCACTATATGAACCACTGATGTATTTATACATTGATCATATCCCCCCTTAATCTCCTCTTCTCAAGAGAGAATAGATTTAGTTCCTCTAATCTTTCCTCATAGCTGAGCTCCTCCATGCCTCTTATCAGTTTGGTTGCCCTTCTCTGTACTTTCTCCAGTTCCCCAATGTTCTTTTTGTTAATTGGTGCCCAAAAAACTGAACTGCATATTCCAGATGAGGTGTTACTAATGATTTGTACAGGGGTAATATGATATCTCTCTCTCTGGAGTCTATACCTCTTTTAATACAAGAGAGGATTTTGCTCACTTTAGAAACCGCAGCTTTGCATTGCATGCCATTATTAAGCTTGTGATCTACCAGGACTCCTAGATCCTTCTCCACCATTGATTCCCCCAGTTGTACTCCCCCTAGTATGTATGATGCATGCATATTCTTAACCCCCAAGTGCATAGCTTTACATTTATCAACATTAAACCTCATTTGCCACATAGTTGCCAAATTAAACAGTGCATTGAGGTCGCTTGTAAATTGGAGCCATCATGTAAGGACGTTATTCCACTGCACAGCTTGGTGTCATCTGCAAAGACTGAAATGGGATTTTTAATCCCAGACCCTATATCGTTTATAAATATATTAAAAAGTAAGGGTCCCAACACTGAACCTTGGGGTACATTATTATTATTATTATACAGGACTTATATAGCGCAGACAGTTTGCTCAGCGCTTTACATAATGGAGGGAGACAGTACAGTAACAATACAGTTCAATACAAGAGGGATTAGAGGGCCCTGCTCCTTGGAGCTTACAATCTAGGAGGGAGGGGATAGTGGTACAAGAGGTAATTAGCTGTGGGGGATGGAGTGGTAGGAAGAGTAGAGGATTCCAATATTAGCTGGGGTCGGGGGTAAGCTTCCCTGAAGAGATGGGTTTTCAGAGTGCGCCTAAAAGTGAGCAGAGTAGGCGATAGCCTGATAGATTGGGGTAGGGAGTTCCAGAGGATGGGTGAAGCCCTTGAGAAATCCTGGAGACGAGCATGGGAGGGAGGAGACAAGGGAGCTAGAGAGTAGGAGGTCTTGCGAGGAGCGGAGAGTACATTTTGGGTAGTATTTAGAGACAAAGGTCGGTGATGTAGTTAGGGGCAGTGTTATGAACGGCTTTATACGTCAGTGTTAGTGTTTTGAATTTTATCCGCTGGGCAATTGGAAGCCAGTGGAGGGATTGGCAGGGAGGGGTGGCAGATACAGAGCGGTTAGTAAGGTGAATGAGTCTGGCAGCAGCATTCAAGATGGACTGGAGTGGGGATAGCCTGCGATGAGGTAGGCCAGTGAGGAGGGAGTTACAGTAGTCAAGGCGTGATATAATAAGGAAGTGAACGAGTTGCTTAGTGGTTTCAGAGGTTAGGAATGGTCGTATCTTGGAGATGTTGCGGAGGTGAAGTCTACATGAGTTTGTCAGCGATTGGATCTGGGGCTGAAAGGACAGATTGGAGTCTATGATTATGCCTAGTTACCTGGCATGAGGGGTGGGACTGATGATAGTGTTGTTGATCTTGATGGAGAAGTTGGGGGGGGGGGGGCACAGGCTGGGGGGAATACTAGGAGCTCAGTTTTGGAAAGGTTGAGTTTGAGGAAGTGGAGTGACATCCAGTCCGATATGTCACTTAGTAGGCTGGTGATGCGATTGGAGACTGAGGGGGTGAGGTGAGAGGTGGAGAGATAGATTTGTGTGTCGTCGGCATAGAGATGGTAGTTGAAGCCGTGGGAGTTTATCAAATGGCCAAGGCAGGAGGTGTAGATGGAGAAGAGGAGGGGTCCGAGGACAGAACCTTGAGGGACCCCAACAGAGAGAGGGAGTGAAGGGGGAGGTGGCAGTGTTATAGGTAACACTGAAGGAGCGCTGTGATAGATAAGAGGAGAACCAGGAGAGAGCGGAGTCTCTGAGGCCAATAGAGTGCAGTCTTTTGAGGAGGAGGGGGTGGTCAACCGTGTCAAAGCCGCAAGAGGTCAAGTAGTAGGAGGCCAGTATAGTGGCCATTGGTTCTGGCGGTTAGTAGGTCATTGGTGAGTTTGAATAGGGCAGTTTCGGTGGAGTGTAAGGGGCGGAAGCCGGACTGTAAAGGGTCGAGAAGGTTGTTGTTGGTGAGATGGGAGCTCAGGCGATTGTAGACTAAGCGTTCTAGGAATTTAGAGGTAAATGGCAGTAGGGAGATGGGTCTTAAGTTGTTTAGGTCTGTGGGGTCCAGGGAGGGTTTCTTAAGTATGGGAGTGATGTGCGCGTGCTTTAGAGGGGAGGGGAAGGTACCGTGGAGAGGGAAAGATTGAAGATGTGGGTGAGGGAGCATAGGATGGAAGAGGAGGGGGACCGCAGGAGTTGTGAGGGGACAGGGTCCAGGGGGCAGGTGGTGAGGCGGGCTTCGGAGAAAATCTTAGTGACCTCTTTGGTAGTAGTGAGGTCAAGGGAGTAAAGTGTTGAGTGGGTTATTGTGTGAGGAGTGCTAAGTAGGGTGGGTGTCTGAGTAGTGGCGAAGTCCCTACGAATTGTCAATCTTGTTTTTGAAGTGGTTAGCAATCTCGTGGGCGGTAAGTGAGGTACTGGGTGGTGGTGGAGGCGAAGAAAGTAGAGAGTTAAAAGTGGAGAAGAGCCGGCGAGGACTGGAGGAGAAGGTATTAATGAGGGTAATAAAGTAGGCTTGTTTGGCAGCGTGAAGGGAGGAAGTGTACATTAAGAAGGCAGATTTATAGCGGGTGAGCGCTTGTTGGGATTTGGTTTTACGCCATAGTCACTCCAGCACACGACTATGTCGTTTGAGGTTTCTGGAATGGTCTGTCTGCCAGGGTTGTAGCGGTCGGGGCCTAATGCTTCGTGTTGTTGGGGGTGCGAGCGAGTCTAGAGCGGCTGAAAGCGAGTTGTTGTAGGCAGTAGCAGCCAAGCCAGGGCATGACAGGGGATGGATGCTGTCGTAAAGTTAGTCAGTTGCAGAGTGGAAGGGAGCAGGGTTACAGTTTTGGAGGTTTCTGCTGGTAACTGTTTGTCATTTGGAGGGATAGGTGTTTGAGGACGAGGAGACTGAGAAGGTGATGGGGTTGTGATTGGAGAGAGGAAAGGGGGTGTTTGTGCGGTTGTAGGGAGTGCAAAGGTGAGAGAAGACAAGGTCAAGAGTGTTCCCGTCAGAGTGAGTGGAGGACTGTATGCACTGTGCTAGTGCAAAAAAAGAGGTTATGTGGAAGAGTTGGGATGTAGCCTGGTTATTGATGTTGATAGGGATGTTGAAGTCTCCAAGAATGATAGTGGGTAGCTCGGAGGAGAGAAAGAAGGTAGCCAGGCGGCGAAGTTGTCAAGAAAGCGGGACCCGGGTCCAGAAGGCCGATAGATCACTGCAATCCTCAGAGAGATTGGAGAGAATAGCCGGATGCAGTGGGTCTCGAAGGAAGAGAAGGATAGAGAGGGAGGGTTAGGGAGGACCTGGAAGGTGCTCAGTGGTGACAGGAGCAAACCAGCCCCACCACCTTTCCGACCACTGGGTCTGGGTGAGTGGGTTCAGATGAGACCTCCATAGGAGAGTGCTGCGGGGGAGGCAGAGTCTGTTGCTTGGACCCAGGTTTTGGTGATCGCTTTGAGGTTAAGGGAGGGGGAGACAAAGAGGTCATGGATGGAAGTGAGCTTGTTGCAGACCCGAGCGGGCGTTCCAGAGTGCGCATGAGAACGTGAGGGTGGTTTTGGGGAGCAGGGGGACAGATAAAAGGTAGAGGGGGTTGCAGCAGTTCACGGAAGAGAGAGGATGTCTTGTGTGTGGGCAAGGCAGTGGGGGACCAGGGTTCGGGGAAATATCCCCGGAGGTTAGGAGAAGAATAAGGGTGAGAAAGGTGGCATGGGAGCGGGATGTATATGAGTGCGTATGTCTTCCAGTACTGGTGTACGGGTCAGCAGGAGAGTGGAGTATCAGGAGGAGGTGATGAGAGCAGTAGTAGGGAGATGAAAGCAGTGAAGGTGAGATGTACAGTTGTTTGGGTGGAGCAGAGGGACGGAGAAAAGAGATTTTGGGGATGCAGGAGAGGAATATGAGGAGGAGGAGTAGAGGAGGCATTTCCAAAGGTAAACGGAGTGGGAGTCAGGTGTGGAGAAGAGTTTCCCCGGGTGCTTGATTGCAGATGGCCAAGTGTGCAGTGGAGTTTTTGTTGTCACTGACAACCCTAGACCTGTCAGGGCAGGAGCTGTGGAAAGGACAGGCAGACCTAGAGGCAGGGTCACGCACTGACTGACGACAACCACCATCCACAGACCGGAGTCCCTCAGGGCGCGGAGTCTAAGTCCCAGGCTGCCTTTCACCAGGGCCCCTGATAGTGGGGATGGACTTGACGCAGCCAGGAACCAGGTCGCGGCCCCCGAGACACCCCAGCTGCGGTAATGGCCACCGCCAATGGCGTGTAGCTGGTAGGACTCAGATCAGACAATAGCGTAGTCGAGCAGGCCGGGTCGACAACAACGGGACAAACGGTACAGAACAGTAGACAAGAATCACAGGCCGGGTTCAGCAACGGGAGGTCAGATCAAAGGAAAACGCAGAGAATGGTCTAGTCACAAGCCGAGTCAGATTCCAGGAGAGTCACGAGAGTATACACAGAGCTGTTGCAACACTAACACACAAGACACAAATGCAAAGGGCATGTGCGGACAACAGACTTATATGTAATCAACCACACGCCTCTGGGGGATGGACCTCAGAGGCCTGAAGGCATAAAAGACTCCCACCATGCTCTTTGCAGAAACCCAAGATGGATGCCAGCACATGGAGCAGCACAACCTCTGGGAAAAAGTAGGACCTTGACAAGACCATTCAGAATATGAATCATTAACCACTACTCTTTGAATACAATCTTTTAGCCAGTTTTCTAGCCATTTACATATGGATTTTTCCAAGCCGTAGACTTTACTTTACACATTAGCCGTGTGTGGGGAACTGTGTCAAACCCTTTTGCAGAATCCAAGTATACCACATCCTCCGCCACCCCTCTGTCCAAGGTTTTACTCACCTCCTCATAAAAATCAGATTTGTTTGACAACTTCTGTCTTTCATGAATTCATGCTGTCTGTTGCTTAAAATATTTTTTTCCAGCAAGAACTCATCTATGTAGTCTTTTCAAAAACTCTCTAGTATCTTCCTAACTATAGAAGTTAAACTCACAGGTCTATAATCCTATCTTGCTTTTATTCAGGTGTTTGCATATGCCTAGTAGCAGTTTCTCTTCTACCAATATATAGAAATCACACTGATCTGGTTCTTGATCATGTGCGTTTTATGAAAGCCATTCATAGTAATCATAAGTTTGTTTATAGACAAGCCCACCAGTTCAGCTGTCATTGTGTCTAGGAGAGAGAGGCAATTTGACAGCAGCTGCCAACAGACTGAGGCTGTTAACATGATAAATAGACTGCAAAAAAGAATTATTATAAGCTATTAAGGGTAAAATGCATTTTAGAAAATTTTTGTACATTTGAGAGCTTTAAAAAAATGATACACAGATATTTAGGTAGGCAAATTTGTTTTAAAATTTTAGGCAAGTTAACCGATGTGTGTGTGTGGTCTTAGCATCCAAGCATCAGTCACAAAAGGGTTAATGCTGACTTTGTCCTTTTTGTTTGCATATAACATCCTTTCAATCTCTGCTATGTATAGAGCTATCATTCAAACAGACAACTTGGGCTAAGCCTTGTTTAAAGGAAATCCTTTGTATATTTGACCTCAGTTTCTTATATTCCTGTTTTTTAAATAAGGCATTTACATGTTTTTTAGTCTTTTTGCATTCCATTTCTAGTATTTATAATTGTCTATATCCAATGAATATCAGTTTACATATGAGAATAATTACATTTTCATTTTTCTGTGCAAGACAGTGTCTTGTGACAGTACTACCTATTGGAATGACACTAATGAGCAGTTTCAGGCCAACAGATACTCACAGATATGTAGACAGCAGCAAAAGCCGAAAGTGTAGCATGTTGGGAAGGGAACGTCTTCCTGGAAACATATTTTTATGATATGAATATGTAAATAAAAATAGCATGCAGATGCATATTGCAGCAACAGAACACAATTAATAGCAGATGTGTAACAAAAGTACTTTTTATTAAAAAAAATGTCTACATAAAGACATCCCTGTTCTCGATCTGCTGATGGAGATTGCAATGTGTCATTCTTCTATTACAATACTCTTTTGACATGCTATATTTACCTCGCACAATGTTTTCTGGAAACTTGCTCTTGGTGTGGATATTCACGGTGACATAAATTGCCCCATTTTTGCTGTTTTGCAACTGCAGTTCACTGTTGCTAGGAAGCAAACAGGGTTGCTTAGCTACCTTTCCTTTGATGCACCTGCCCTCACTACGTGAACGATTTCTTGAGTCTGTGCTTTATATGGCCTTGGTGTATCTTCCCATTTATCTACAGTAGTATGCAGTTACATTTACTATTCAGAAAAAAAAATTTACAGTTGTGCTTACCTGGCAGACAAAATAGCATGCTGGTCATTTCCAGTGCAGATGTCCTGTGTGATATAGGGGTTTGTAGCACATGAAGTGCCAAGCCTTGTGTAGTTAGGCTTACAGACCGTGAGGAAGAATGGAGCATGATATCCAGTGGCTAGCTGAATGACATCAGTGACCAATGCAGTAGCACACAGGCCAAAAACATGAACACCTAAGGAAAGACAAGGTACCAGTGTAAAACAATTACAAAATCAGGGAGAAAAGCATTTGAAATCACACTTACCTACAAATCGAACTGTCCTGCGCAAAAAGGAATTGAAATTGCAACCCCGGCATTGATACTTCCTTCAGAGCTACCACGACCCTTCAGTTTGGACTGAATACAGTAAAGGATTCCCTCTCCAAGCATGATCTGTAGGAGCACAATATATTAGTGCAATGAACTCTTGCCTTCAAACCTGTATCACGTAACAGAGGTACTTACAGAGGCTGCTGGGGCAGCAAATGCAAGACTGAGCAGCATGAGAAGTGGGATGAGCTCTTCATTGCTCTCAACATATGGCATAGAGAGTGAACGATCATGACACTGAAATCCACCCTGCGCGGGTCGGAAGATGTCGGTCAGCTCCAGAAAGTACAGAGATACTATGGAGGAGGCCACAATGGGAAGCTTAAGGAAAAGAAAGAGGGTAAGGAAAAAGACAGTAGCATACTTTCGGGGCAATTTTCTGATTTGTATTGCAAAATATATAGTTTCAATTGTGAGCCCACATATCTCTCTATCTCCTTATATGAATAGATATATACTATACACTGCTTAAAAAAATTAAACAAACACTTTGAAAAAACACATCAGATCTCAATGGGGAAAAATATCACGCTGGATATCTATACTGATATGGATTGGGTAATGTGTTAGGAACGTAAGGATCAGGGGCGGACTGACCATTTGGAAACCCGGGCACTGCCCGAGGGCCCAGGATCAGTAGGGGTCCCCATGAGATGCCCCTGGTACCTTTTTCATAGGCTTTTTTGAGTTTGGGCAGGGACACAGGGGCCCCATGATCCCCTATTGCCCGGGGGCCCCATGAGTTGTCAGTCCGCCCCTGGTAAGAATGCCCCATCGTTTGATGGAAACAAAAATCAAAGTGAAAGAAATTATGCAGAAGGCTACACCATTTGCTGAAATTTAGCAACTCAGAATGGTACTCAGTAGTTTGTATGGCCCCCACGTGCTTGTATGCATGCCTGAAAACATTGAGGCATGCTCCTAATGAGACGACGAAAGGTGTCCTGGGGTATTTCCTCCAAGATCTGGACTATGGCATCACCTGGACAGTCTGAGGTTAAACCTGGCAGTGTTTGATGGACCGAAACATGATATCCCAGAGGTGTTCTATTGGATTTAGGTCAGGTGAACGTGGGGGCGATTTAATGGCATCAATTCCATCATCCTCCAGGAACTGCCTGCATACTCTCGCCGCATAAGGGCCGGGCATTGTCATGCACTAGGAGGAACCCAGGACCGCTGCACCAGCATAGGGTCTGACAATGGGTCCAAATATTTCATTCTGATACCTAATGGTAGTCATGGTGCCATTGTCTAGCCTGTAGAGGTCTGTGCGTCTCTTCAAGGATATGCCTCCCCAGACCATCACTGACACACCATCAAAACGGTCATGCTGAACGATGTTACAAGCAGCATAATGTTCTCCATGGCTTCTCCAGACCCTTTCATTTTTGTTACATCTGCTCAGGGTGAACCTGCTTTCATCTGTGAAAAGCACAGGGTGCCAGTGGCGGATCTGCCAATTCTGTTGTTCAATGGCAAATGCCAATCGAGCTGTATGGTGCCGGGCAATGAGCACAGGGCCCACTAGAGGACGTCGGGCCCTAAGGCCACCTTCATGAAGTCTGTTTCTGATTGTTTGGTCGAAGACATTCACGCCAGTGGCCTGCTGGAGGTCATTTCTGGCAGTGCTCATCCTATTCCTCCTTGCACAAAGGAGCAGATACCTGTCCTGCTGATGGGTTTAGGACCTTCAACGGCCCTGTCTAGCTCTCCTAGAGTAACTGCCTGGAATCTCCTCCATGCGCTTGAGACTGTGCTGGGAGAAGCAGCAAACCTTCTGGCAATGGCAATGGTATTGATGTGCCATCCTGGAGGAGTTGAACTGTCTGTGCAACCTCTGTAGGGTCCAGGTATTGCCTCATGCTACCAATAGTGACACTGACCCTAGCCAAATGCAAAACTAGTAAAAAACAGTGAGAAAAGATGTAGGGAAAAAATGTCAGTGGCCTCCAGCTGTAAAACCATTCCTGGTCGTCTCATTGTTGCCCATCTACTGCACCTGTTGTTAATTTCATTAACATAAATATAATTTATTCATTAACACCAAAGCAGCTGAAACTGATTAACAACCCCCTCTGCTACTTAACTGCCCAGATCAATATCCCAGGAGTTTAATTGACTTGATGCTATACTCTGATTAAAATGTGTTCCTTTAATGTTTATTAAATATACAGTGCATATATAGATAGATAGATAGATAGATAGATAGATAGATAGATAGATAGAAAGATAGATGTACAGTCAGGTCCATAAATATTGGGACATCGACACAATTCTAACATTTTTGGCTCTATACACCACCACAATGGATTTGAAATTAAACAAACAAAATGTGCTTTAACTGCAGACTGTCAGCTTTAATTTGAGGGTATTTACATCCAAATCAGGTGAACGGTGTAGGAATTACATCAGTTTGCATATGTGCCTCCAACTTGTTAAGGGACCAAAAGTAATGGGACAATTGGATTCTCAGCTGTTCCATGGCCAGGTGTGTGTTATTCCCTCATTATCCCAATTACAATGAGCAGATAAAAGGTCCAGAGTTCATTTCAAGTGTGCTATTTGCATTTGGAATCTGTTGCTGTCAACTCTCAAGATGAGATCCAAATTGCTGTCACTATCAGTGAAGCAAGCCATCATTAGGCTGCAAAAACAAAACAAACCCATCAGAGAGATAGCAAAAACATTAGGCGTGGCCAAAACAACAGTTTGGAACATTCTTAAAAAGAAGGAACGCACTGGTGAGCTCAGCAACAGCAAAGGACCTGGAAGACCACGGAAAACAACTGCGGTGGATGACCGAAGAATTCTTTCCCTGGTGAAGAAAACACCCTTCACAACAGTTGGACAGATCAAGAACACTCTCCAGGAGATAGGTGTATGTGTGTCAAAGTCAACAATCAAGAGAAGACTTCACCAGAGTGAATACAGAGGGTTCACCACAAGATGTAAACGATTGGTGAGCCTCAAAAACAGGAAGGCCAGATTAGAGTTTGCCAAACGACATCTAAAACAGCCTTCACAGTTCTCGAACAACATCCTATGGACAGATGTGAAAGGATTAAATGGAATATAACTGAATCCATTTTGTATACACTAATACAAGATGCTAGTTTAATATATATATTTGAGATGTGTGCACACTAACAAAACTGTCTATCTCAGCTTCATGTAGAAATGAGTGTTTTTGCAAACCCTTACAAAAAAGCAGATAAGGTTTACTCTCACTTCTGAAAAGTTTTAACCACAAATTGGGTGTTAGGTCAGATTAAAGCCATGGTCTGGGCTTTAGAGGAGATATGGTATGATAGATAAAGCAGAAGAGTGAAAATGCAAACCTCATACAAATAATTGTTGAGTTAAGGTAAAATAATGTACATGTATTTGATTGGAAGATCTGAGGGTGTGTTTGCCTAAAGACTACAGTATAATAACCCTGATGTTATGCCAATAAAACTGAAGTGTTTGCAATCGCAACTGAGGTGATTTGAGTGCATTCACTTTCCGAGATCTCGTAGCTGTGTCCAGGTGTGACCGTTGGTATCTTGAGGGGGCCCCCAAGGAAAAGGAAAAAGACCACCTACCTACTTTCAAGATGAGACCAAGATCAACTTGTACCAGAGTGATGGGAAGGAAAGAGTATGGAGAAGGAAAGGAACTGCTCATGATCCTAAGCATACCCCCTCATCAATGAAGCATGGTGGTGGTAGTGTCATGGTGTAGGCATGTATGGCTGCCAATGGAACTGGTTCTCTTGTATTTATTGATGATGTGACCGCTGACAAAAGCAGCAGGATGAAGTCTGAAGTGTTTCGGGCAATATTATCTGCTCATATTCAGCCAAATGCTTCAGAACTCATTGGACGCCGCTTCACAGTGCAGATGGACAATGACCCAAAGCATACTGCAAACGCAACCAAAGAGTTTTTTAAGGGAAAGAACTGGAATGTTATGCAATGGCCAAGTCAATCACCTGACCTGAATCCGATTGAGCATGCATTTCACTTGCTGAAGACAAAACTGAAGGGAAAATGCCCCAAGAACAAGCAGGAACTGAAGACAGTTGCAGTAGAGGCCTGGCAGAGCATCACTAGGGATGAAACCCAGCGTCTGGTGATGTCTATGCGTTCCAGACTTCAGGCTGTAATTGACTGCAAAGGATTTGCAATCAAGTATTAAAAAGTGAAAGTTTAATTTATGATTATTATTCTGTCCCATTACTTTTGGGACCTTAACAAGTGGGAGGCACATATGCAAACTGTTGTAATTCCTACACCGTTCACCTGATTTGGATGTAAATACCTCAAATTAAAGCTGACAGCCTGCAGTTAAAGCACATCTTGTTCGTTTCATTTCAAATCCATTGTGGTGTTGTATAGAGCCAAAAATGTTAGAATTGTGTCGATGTCCCAATATTTATGGACCTGACTGTATATTCGGGATAAGCTCAGGCGGGTCCAGATCTTAGTCTGAACCCATGTGGTGAGCTCACTCATCAGGAATCTGTCACCTGTACCAGTCCAATCATAAGTGGTTGAGGCATTCCCTGCCCTACAGTCGCACTTATACACACCTCTTGCATGCTTGCGTCTGCAGGGTGGGGAATGCCCTGGATGCAGATGATTGTCCCAGTACAGGTGACTGCTTCTTTGTGGGCTCACTCAAGTTGGTTAAAACTAGGTTCCAAACATACCTTAGTTCCTGTATAAATAAACATATCCACAATACAAACCTCTCTGAGCACACTCTCCAGCTAGTCAGAAAATAACTAAACTGATTCAGGTTCATCTAAATAGTGTTTTTGTAAATAGAGCCACACTGCTTCAGTGCACCTCTGTGAAGTGTGGTCCCTAATGCTAGGGAGCAGGCTTACAGAGATATATACAGTGGGTAAAATAAGTATTAAACACGTCGCCATTTTTCTTGATAAATATATTTCTAAAGGTGCTATTGACATAAATTTTCACCACATGTTGGTAACAACCCATGCAATCCATACATACAAAGAAATCAAAACAAATAAGTTCAGAAATTAAGTTATGTACACACGCCTGTGACTGACGGCCTGTCACTGACGGCCACAGGAAACCGCAATTCACTGCAAACCGCAGTGGCCACGGTTTTGCCGTGTTTTGCGTTTTCCCATGGTCGGCAGTCAAAACATTCCTATCCTGAACGTGATTCTTCCGTGTTCAGGAGAGGGAGGTTTAACCTCACCTAACAGCTGCAGCTGCTAAACTCTGCTAAAAGCCTATGTGTACATGGACACTCAGGCTTTTATGGAGTTGAGTTTAGGAGCTTTGGCAAAAAAATGCCAA